CCCATGGACGAAGCTCTCAGGCTATCCCTGTGAGAGGTCTGCCACCCTGCTGCTCACTGCCGAATGTATCCCCAGGGCCTAGCGCTCACAGTAACTGGTTAATTACTATTGCTCCATAAATTCATAAGTGGTACTGCACCTAGAATTAGACTCCGTTCCCGCCTACTATGCTAATTGGTTTAGGGTAGACAGTCCCAGGGCAGCCTGCTTTGGTAGGCTTCATGGGGCACACAGACTGGTCAGTAAGAGCTAGCTGCCTCCCGACTCCATTAGAGCGGAGGGCAAGCTAGCCTAGCTCCAGGTGAGGCATTCAAGATGTCTCTGCCCTTTGACTTGAGCAAGACACCCCTTGTGGCTATTTGTTTTAAGGATGGATGCCACCAGAAGGTAAGTGTGAGAATAGAAATACGGCGCTGTTCATAACAGTGAACAGTTAGGTCACCAGGGCAGTACTGCGTGATGGAGTTACCTTTGCCTTTTCTATAACTCGGACCACGTCATCCACTCCTTTCACTTGTACCATTCCATCACATAAAGTCATCTGGTACAAAAGAAAAAAGGAGTTAGAAATCCTCTAATGCCTTCGAAAGGAAAGTCTTAAACTCTGGTACAACCATATAATGGAGTAATATGTGTAGCTGGTAAGTAGGAACATTTTTCTACATCAATATTGTTGAATAAATTGTTAATGGGGGAAATAAAGTACAGGACAGTATATACAGAGGACATGTTTAGTCATCTCTTGGGTTACTTCCTACTAAGGTGGTATTTTGTCAAAATTTTCTTACAATAAAGATCAGACACAGGGGACGACATATCCAGTGCCTGACAAAGAAACGGGTAACAGGTGGAAAATGGAGTGTGTGTCCAGGGCCTCTGAGGAGGGAGTATATCATGGGACCAAACCCAAAACCAAGGCTCAGTAGACCGAGAGAGTGCCAGATCCATTCCTGATTGGAATTCCTGAATTTAATGAACACTGATTTAGTCTCTAGACTAAGTTTTCCCATCTGCAAGGTAGTAACAGGAATATTCTCAGCAGAATGCCCCATTCACGTCTGGAAATTTAAGAATCAGCCAGCCCAGGCCAGCCCAGCCAGTGTTGCCCAATGGTTGAGCGTCGACCCATAAACCGGAAGGTGATGGTTCAATCCCCGATCAGGGCACATGCCTGGGTTGTGGGCTCAGTCCCTGGTGGGGACGAGAAGGAGACAGCCAATCAATGTTTTCCTCTCACTGATTTCTATTCCTCTTCCTTTCTCTCTCTTAAATCAATAAAAACATATTTTTTTAAAAAAGAATCAAATTGAGCCAAAACCGGTTTTGGCTCAGTGGACAGAGCGTCGGCCTGCGGACTGAAAGGTCCCAGGTTCGATTCCGGTCAAGGGCATGTACATTGGTTGCGGACACCTCCCCAATAATGGGTTTGCTGGAGGCAGCTGATTGATGTTTCTCTCTCCTCGATGTTTCTAACTCTATCCCTCCCCCTTCCTCTCTGTAAAAAAATCAATGAAATATATTTTTAAAAAATAAAGTAAAATAAAATAATCAGCTGGATAGAAGCTCTTTCTTAGGGGAAAAGCACATCCACACTCAGGGAGCAGTACCCCAAGAGTGGGGTGAACACGCATTGACTGTCTGTAGGAGCCTTCAGTGGCAATAAGTGCCAGCCACGTAGGACCCCGTCCTCCAGGGGTTGGAATTGTGCTCTTGACGAGCCTCCCTGTGCAGATGTTTGATCCTCCTCTCGGTGGCTGTGGGCATTGTCTAGCCCCGGGTCTTGCTAATAAAGGTAAATAAAGAACCCTTTTATTCCGCCTTCTGCTGTGGGGCTTCTGGTCAGCCCGCTGGCTGGTGCGGACCTGCCCGCCCGATCAAAGCGGCAAAGCTGATGACAGATGCCACAAATACCTGTGTGGGTGGGGTCGAGGGGAAGGGCATGCGGAGGTCAGCAAGGCAAGGCCTTGGGCTGCTTCTGGGAGGACTTGCCAAGACGTCCCACCTGTTTGCCGCTGCTCACACCCTCCTCGCGCTCTTCGTTAACCATTCCCTTCTGTGTGCGGGCCAGGCCACTGCCCTGTGCCGCCGCCGCCCGTTCACCCATGACCTTCGCCTTGCGCCAGCCACCAGGGCATCTTGCCCGTCTTTGAATTTTGAGAATTTGGGGTGTTACAAAGATCGGGTTTCTGGCATTCAGAATCTACCAACTGTGGTGGAGATTGGTTTTAAAATGGTCTCACCCAGCTGGGCTAGGTAAAACGGTAAACGATCTAAGATTAGGAAGATTGTTGGTTGAAGGTAGCCGTTGGCAAACTCATTAGTCCACAGAGCCACATACCAACAGCACAACAATTGAAATTTCTTTGGAGAGCCAAAATTTTTAAACTTACACTTCTCCTAACGCCACTTCTTCAACATAGGCTCGCCCAGGCCGTGCATGGTATTTTGTGGAAGAGCCACCCTGAAGGGGCCAAAGAGCCGCATGTGGCTCTCGAGCCGCAGTTCGCCTACCACAGTTTAAAGGTTTAAGGAATATGGGTCGTCAGTCACACCAAAAAACGTGGCGGGGGGAAGGGGGAGTGTGGCCAAGCAGTGTCCTGTGTTTTTAAATTTGCTGTGGGAATAGCGTAATAAACGTGTCATCTTCTAAACAGGATTCTTTGTGGCCCCTTTTAAATCCGGAGCCCGTTCCTAACTGGCAAGTTCCCCGTTAGGACCCTGCTCGGTCCTGGTATACGCAGGAAATAGGCCTAATTTAAAAGCAGCTTCCATTAAACATGACTTTTAACGTTAAGTCAACTGTGAGAACGATCATTTTCTCAAACTAAATATTTGTGCTTGGATCCCGTGCGTGAGCCTGGTTGTTTCTGAGGTTAGGCTATAAATGGGACTTTAAGCGCCTTAATATCGAGCGGCTCTACTTCAAAGCAGAAGCCAGGAGCCTGGCCAGCCCTCCTGGATGATGTTGGAAATGTCTCTTTAAGAGTGCCTGCCCGCGTGGGTCACCACCGCACCTCCAAAGCCCCGGGTCTGCCACGCTCCTGGGGCGCGGGGACGCCTCCACGGCTCCCGTGGCCCCCGCCTTGCAGGCTCCCGCCTGCAGCCCTTAGCCTCTCTCTCCAGGTGTGCCAGCATCAAAGCGGGGGTGCTCCCGATCGATCGAGATGCTTCTGAAGGCTCACTGCCCTCGGGTGCTGTTTGATGCGTTTGATCGTGGAATGAAAGCCAAGTGCAGGAGTGAGAGGTCCTGTTGATTACCTCGTATTCCGCACGCTGTTCCCCCAGGCGCCTCGACATCTTGGGGGAGAGCGTGCAAGACGGGGACCCCGCCTGGGCAGAAGACACGAGCACTGGCTGACGGGTCCTCGGGCAGAGGAGTCTGGGCCATCATGCCCTCTCCTGCTTCCCCCATTGCTCTGGACAGCCCGTTGCGTGTCCAGGATTGGAACTGGGCCCTAGCGGGTTTGGCTCCGTGGATAGGCCATCATCGGCCTGCAGACTGAAGGGTCCCTGGTTCGATTCCGGTCAAGGGCACATGCCTGGGTTGTGGGTTCAATCTCTAGTAGAGCCGGGAAGAGCTCCTTAAGGGTCACTCCTGACTGCAGCGTGTGTGTGTGTGTGTGTGTGTGTGTGTGTGTGTGTGTGTGTGATATTGGGGTGTGGGGGTGTGGACAAGTAGCAGAGGAGACTGGATGCATTCAAATACACGGAGTCTCAGATCAGCAAGAAAGAGTCCCGAGCAGAACTAGGACAGCTTCGGCAGCGCGGCACCCAGAGTGCCGGAGTGTGAAGCTGCAGAGGATTTGGCGGTATCCCTGAGGATTTCCCTGTCCTGCCCGGTTAGTGCGAGGCACAGGGAATGGACTTGTTCTGAAAAGGTGGGCTACGTCTGCCCTCTAGTGGGCATTGGCCTACTTCATCCATTGGGTCCAGCGTTGCTTTCTTGTGCTGCCGCTCTATGGGGTGATTATTCTTTCTATCTATAAGGTTTGTTTGTTTTTAATCTATTAAAACAGCATTTTAATAAATTAAAATTTGGAGATTTTGGAGAGAGGGAGAGAAACATTGACTTACTGTTCCACTTCTTTCTGTATTCATCAGTTGATGCTTCTATGTGCCCTGAATCTTCTAGGAGGTCCTTCCACGCCCCTCTCCCCGCCATGTTAGAGATTGTCTTACTTCCCTAACAAGGTTCAGATTCCTAAATGCCGAGATTATGTTTTATGTCTTTTTCTTCTATAGCGTCTACCCATTGTCCACTTAGCTGGACATAAAATTTAAAGCTCCATTCGGATGGAAAAGGAATTATTTAAAAAAAAAAAAAAAAAAAACCTCGGCACTTCTCATTTGTTCCTAAGACATTCCAATCTCATCGCGCCGATCAATAGTTTCCCAGGTAGTTAAGTCATCAGGACCCCTCCGAAAACGTTCGGAGCTGCTTCCTGGGCCTCCCTCCAGCCCAGCTGAATCAGGCTGTGTGGTTGGAGCCAGGAAATCTGCTTTACAAACTTCCCAAGTGGTTTCTGATGTGCGGCCAGGTTTGGCAGCCAACGGCTCCAAATCCCCATTTACGACGGTTTCTCCTCGCTTCTCGCTCGGACGGCGTCTCCCGAGGTCTCCGGCCGGTGCCCGTTATTAAAACGGACCCTCTTGAGGCGCCTCCAGCTGCCGCGCCGCGCCGGGCGACCTGGCGAGGAGAAGGACCACAAGAGAGGGACCAGAGGCATTTGCTCCGGTTGCCAGCGGCTCTGTGCTCACAGCAGAAAATCCCGAAACCAGCACCTTTCTGCTGACGGGGCAGGTCCTTGGTCGGGAGTGTGTGCTGCGTGTTGAGGTTGGACGGGGAGACAGAGGTTGATTGAGTACCCCGTGTGTTTTTTTTTTCATCTTCACCCAGCCTAACGCATCTTGTTCTCAAGGTGGGTGGCATGGCCCCTGTGTACACAGAGAGGAAAGGTCAGAGGCCCAGAATGCCAACCTGCTCTGTTTCCTTCTGCCAGGCCAAGCGCGCCGTGCAGCGGGGAGCCACCGCCGTCATCTTCGACGTGTCTGAAAACCCCGAGGCTATCGACCAGGTAACCCCTCGGACCCTGCCCCTGCCCCTGCCCCCGCCGGCACGCCCCCTCCCCAGAGAGGCACCGCCTTTGGGTAGCCTGGCTTGTCAGTCATGTCGGCTCATCTCGGGGCCTTGGCGTTGTCTGCTGATGTTAGCTGTTTGCGCTTGGACATTACACTCAAGGCAAGACTATGGAGAGGGGTGAAGAGCCAGGAGAGTTGGGACACAGGGGCCATTTCCCAAGATCCTCTGGGCCTTCAGTCTGCCCGGTCCCGCCTAGGACAAGCCTCAGCCTCAGTCTTGCCATCTGGGAGCTCCAATGAGTGATGCTTGAGGAGTTGGGTGATTTCCAAACTGGTGTTTTGTGTTCTTTTCCTCCAGCCTTCTCTCTCTCTCTCTCTCTCTCTCTCTCTCTCTCTCTCTCTCTTTCTCTCTCTCTCTCTCTGCCCCCTGCTTCTTACAGTAAGCACATCTTCTAACCGGGAGCATCTCTTCTTCCTTAGCTAAACCAGGGCCAGGAAGACCCGCTCAAGAGGCCAGTGGTGTACGTGAAGGGCGCGGACGCCATCAAGCTGATGAACATCGTCAACAAGCAGAAAGTGGCTCGCGCGAGGATCCAGCACCGGCCCCCTCGAGTGAGCCTCCCCCCGGCCTCCACGCCGGCCCCGGCTCTGCTGCCGCCTGAGCCCTCATCCCCGTTAGCTCTGGGCTCTCACTCCTGTCTTCTTTCCGGTCAAACGCTGCTGCACCCCCGGTTCCTGCAGAGCAGTGGTCGGCAAACTGCGGCTCGGGAGAGGCGGTTTGCGGCTCTGTGGACTGATGAGTGTGCCGACCACTGCCGTGGAGTACCGGGTGCATGCTCCTATAGAGGGGATTGGGAAAGCCCTACCAGAAATAGCCGAATCGTGCCAGGATCGGGCTGGTCACTCCCACCCAGCGTTCCCTCTTGGGAAATTCCTCTCTCTCTTCTGGCCCGTCTCCCTCCGAGAGGCTGGCTGAGGAGGACTGAGGGGAGGAATGCTCAGCCCTGAGCTTACCATGCCTCCTTCTCCCGTGGGGTCAGTAGCATTATTAAAACCCCCGATACCGATTCTGGAAAGTTCGCTATCAACTGGGATTGAAGTTTATGACTTGTAGGTGGCTGATGAATAATATGTAAGGCTTCCCCTAAGGGTGTTGACACTGCTGACCATCTTGTCTGGCATCTTCTGCCTAAACTTCTGAAGATTCTAAGGACCTGAAACAGGTGCCCCATATCTGGTTTATTTCCTTCTCGCAAATATTGGGATACTCACCTTAGGATGGCTCTTTTCCATGCCCATCATGTCTGGACACCTGCAGCATTCAATTAGCAAAACTCTATTCCTAGTGACTAAAGGCATGTCCTAGATAAGGTGGCTGCAAGGTCTTAGGAGGCAGTGAGACGTGAGGAAAAGGTTAGAACTAAAGCCAGAGGGAGTTTGCAGAAGAGCTGACATGCTGGCTTCTTTTTTGAAGGGAAAAAAAAGAGCACTTTGGTAAATATGACTCATGGTAGTGGAAGCTGATATTTGTGGAAGCAGCGTACAATTTTCTGAGTTGTTGTAAACCATTAATTACATGGTTAGTAATCACTGTTCCCTCAAAACATGACACTCATTCCTTTGTCCCCAAAATGTGATATTTGTGTTTATCTGGAAGGGCCTCTCCTACCGGTTAGAGCGAACTTTGCACCATTCCCCTGGGAGCGAGTCTCTATGAACTGTTAGGAGACCTGGCTGAGGCCGCCCCCTGGCGACCCTGGAGGGTACTGCCAGGCCTGAATAGCATCCTGCGAGCCTGTTAGCAGAAGCCCAGGTGTTCCCTGCAAATGGGGCAGGAGGGGGGCGGGGAATGCGCCCCAGTTGCCCCATCCTCATTCCGACTTGAGCTGAACCTCAGGCCGAAGGGCGCGGTGACTCACTGTGTCTGTTCTGTTCCAGCAACCCACGGAGTACTTCGACATGGGCATTTTCCTGGCTTTCTTTGTCGTGGTCTCCCTGGTCTGCCTCATCCTCCTGGTCAAGATCAAGCTGAAGCAGCGCCGCAGTCAGGTAACGCCTCAAGCAGCCCGCGCCCGCGGTGCCCGCCACCTGCCCGCTCCCAGGGGCCCGGAACTAGCGCAGGCAGAAAAGCTGGCACCAAGCTCACAGCGCCGAGTCTTCTCTGTTCTAGAAGGCCCGGTCCTGCGGAGGCCGAGCGTTAGGGGTGTTGCCAGCCTGGGCGTTTTCCCAAAGAAACGTTTAAATGTCCTTGTGGAGCCAAAACTGGTTTGACTCAGTGGATAGAGCGTAGGTCTGCAGACTGAAGGGTCCCGGGTTCGATTCCGGTCAAGGACATGTACATTGGTTGCGGTAGGGGGTGTGCAGGAGGCAGCTGATAGATATTTCTCTCTCATCGATGTTTCTGACTCTGTCGCTCTCTCTTCCTCTCTGTAAGAAAAAAAAAAAAAATCAATAAAATATATATTAAAAAGTTTAATAAATGTTCATGTGGAACCCAGAGCCTCGATCTGGGCAGCAGCAGCAGCAGCATCACCCGGGAGCTCGGTAAAAATGCAGGGTCTCAGGCCCCGCCTGCTGAATCTAAGTCGCATCTACCTCGCTTCCCAGGTCATTCTCGATAAACAGAGTGGCGCTCCGGTGCCCCAGCTGGCGCAGGCTGTGTGGGAGGGGTTTGGGGTGGAAGGCGATGAGGGGGCTAAGCGGGAATCTTGGCTCTCGCGTGGGTAGCAGCGTGCTGTCTCGGGGAGCGATGGGGGTCCTCGGCAGGCGGTCTGCTGAGAGGAGCATCGCCACGTTCTCGGTAGAACAGCGGCCGGTGTTTGTTTGCCGAGCACGTCTGATTTGCCAGGGGCGCCGAGCCCTCGCGCGCACTCTCGTTTGCCCCAGAACTTCCTTCAGGGTAAAGGGCAGGAACCCTGGCACAGAGCTGGCCAAGTCCTCGAAGTAGACCCTCTGCGGGTCCTTCCGCGGGGAGAAGCCTGGCTGCTGTCAGGGACACTCAGGAGGCTGGCACATCTGGGCCGCGGCCATCTGAGTCTTCAGTGACTTTCCCCAAAGTCTGCCCTGGCCCAAGAGAGACCGGCCCTTCCCCGTCCTGGTTTACCGCGCGCCGAGGCCCTGGGGTGACTCCCACCGTCCACACGTGCCAGACCCTAACGCGGGCCGCCCTCTGCCACGCAGAACTCCGTGAACAGGCTGGCCGTGCAGGCGCTGGAGAAGATGGAGACCAGGAAGTTCAACTCCAAGAGCAAGGGGCGCCGGGAGGGGAGCTGCGGAGCCCTGGACACGCTCAGCAGCAGCTCCACGTCCGACTGCGCCATCTGCCTGGAGAAGTACATCGACGGAGAGGTACCGGCAGAGCCGGGCCCCCGGGGTGGGTCAGGGGTCAGCAGAGGAGCGCAGGACTTCAAGGGCCAGGGTCCCGTGCCTCTTCCCACGGCTTCGCAGGAGCAGAAGGGCTTTGAGGTCTAGGTCTCCAGGGGATGCTGGCCTGACGCCTCTAACTGCCGTTTGCCCCTGGAAGGGGGTGGCCACGGACAGGGACACGCTCTCCGGAGAATCCCGCTGAGTGTAGGTGATCAGGAAGCTGGTCAGAAACACGTGGGCGGCCAGCCCTGGCCGGTTGCAGCGTCATCCCATGCACCGGAAGGTGCGATGCGTCTTTTTCCCATCGGTGTTTCTCTCTCGCTCCCTCTCCCTCCCTCTTCCTCTAAAATCATTCTTTTTGTTTTAAAGAAATATATGGGAGGCCAAGGAAATGTCTGGTTTTAAGAACATTCGCACATGTTTGACTTTAGAATTGCTCTTTGGAAAATTCGGAGGCCTAACTTGATACAGATCTCCCCTACAAAGCTGTGCGGAACCTCCGGCGTTTTTCACTTAGGGAGACAAGGGGTACGATGCCCCCCCTTCCCCTCCAAGCTTTTCATCCTGAACGTCTCAGACCTTCAGGAAAGTTACCTGAATCCTGCAGAGCGTCTCGCGCCGTTCACCGGCCCCTCCCCGCCCCCGCCTTCAGGCCGTGTCTCCTCCCCTCCCCAGGAGCTGCGGGTCATCCCCTGCACACACCGCTTCCACCGGAAGTGCGTGGACCCCTGGCTGCTGCAGCACCACACCTGCCCCCACTGCCGGCACAACATCATCGGTAAGTGGCACCCGCCTCTGGCCTTGCCGAGGCGTCTCCGCTGCAGGCCGGTGAGCGAGCGAGACCAGCACCGCGCGGCCGCCCGGACTGGCAGGGGTGGTGGAGGTCACCGGGCCTGCACACGCTTGGCACGAGGCATCGCCCAGAGTTTTGAGTTTCTGCTTTCACACGAACCCGCGTCCTGGCCTGTCCAGGCCTCAGGCCCGCCATCTCCTTAAAGGGAATGACAGCCGAAACCGGTTTGGCTCAGTGGATAGAGCGTCGGCCTGCAGGACTGAAAGGTCCCAGGTTCGATTCCGGTCAAGGGCATGTACCTTGGTTGCGGGCACATCCCCAGTGGGGGGGTGTGCAGGAGGCAGCTGATCGATGTTTCTCTCTCATCGATGTTTCTAACTCTCTCTCCCTCTCCCTTCCTCTCTGTTAAAAAAAATCAATAAAATATATTTGAAAAATAAAAATAAAGGGAATAGCCGGGACCAGTTTGGCTCAATGGATAGAGCGTCGGCTTGGGGACTGAAGAGTCCCGGGTTCGATTCCAGTCAAGGGCATGTACCTTGGTTGTGGGTATATCCCAGTAGGGGGTATGCAAGAGGCAGCTGATCGATGACTCTCTCTCATCGATGTTTCTAACTCTCTATCTCTCCCTTCCTCTCTGTACAAAATCGATAAAATATATTTAAAAATAAAATAAAATAAAGGGAATGACAGCAGTGGTGCTTGCCTGTGCCCGGTACTGCGAAGTGTTCCCGGGCCTCAGGGATGGTGGCTGGGAGAGGCAGGGCCTCAGGGATGGTGGCTGGGAGAGGCAGGGCCTCAGGGATGGTGGCTGGGAGAGGCAGGGCCGTGAGGCCGCTGCTGTCACTGCGGTTCTGGGTGGTGGGTCTGGACCGCAGGCTGCGCTCCAGGTGGCTGTTTGGCCCTGAGGGACGGTGCCTGTCATCTCGGCAGCCCTGTTGCTCTCTGCATGCTCCTGCGGTGCCTTTGTTGGGCGGAGCCATGGGGAGGTGGGAGGTGACCGCCTCTCAGAGGAGCGGGTCACCCATTCTCTGCCAGCGAGGCCGGGTTCGGGGACAGCTTGGAGCAGAGCAGGGTCGTGACACGGGCACCGAGGTGTGTGACCAGCGCTGCTGCTCCGGCCTCCCGCCCTGATTCACAGGTCCCTCCCTCTAGCCCTGCTGACTCTGTTTCCCCCTCCTCTCCCCAGAGCAAAAGGGGAACCCCAGCGCCGTGTGCGTGGAGACGGGCAGCCTCGCCCGCAGCCGGCAGCAGCGGGTGATCCTGCCGGTGCACTACCCCGGCCGCGTGCACAGGACCAACGCCATCCCGGCCTACCCCACGAGGACGAGCATGGACTCGCACGGGAACCCCGTCACCCTGCTGACCGTGGACCGGCACGGCGAGCAGGGCCTCTACCCGCCCCAGGCCCCCGCCTACATCCGCGGCTGCCCGCCCCTCCCCCAGGACCACCCGCTGGCCCCGCACCGCTGCGGCCTGGAGCACCGAGCCTACTCCCCGGCCCACCCCTTCCGCCGGCCCAAGTTCAGCGGCCGCAGCTTCTCCAAGGCAGCTTGCTTCTCCCAGTACGAGACCATGTACCAGCACTACTACTTCCAGGGCCTCAGCTACCCGGAGCAGGAGGGCCCGGCCCCGCCCGGCCTGGTCCCCCGGGGCCCGGCCCGCGCCTTCGCCCCGGGCGGCGGCGGCAGCGGCCTGCGCTTCCCCCCGCTGGTGCACATGGCGCCGGCCGCCCACCTGGACAGCGGCAGCGCCTCCAGCTTCAGCTGCTACCACGGCCACCGCTCCGTGTGCAGCGGCTACCTGGCCGACTGCCCGGGCAGCGACAGCAGCAGCAGCTCCTCCGGCCAGTGCCACTGCTCCTCCAGCGACTCGGTGGTGGACTGCACCGAGGTCAGCAACCAGGGCGTGTACGGGAGCTGCTCCACCTTCCGCAGCTCGCTCAGCAGCGACTACGACCCCTTCATCTACCGCAGCCGGAGCCCCTGCCGCGCCGGCGAGCTGGGGGGCGCGGGCGGCGCGGGCCGGGGGCCCTCCGTGCACCCCGAGGGCTCCCCGCCGCCGCCCGAGGAGCTCCCCGCGGCGGCCCACGGCCACGGCCACGGCGCCGGGCGGGGGGAGCCCTGGCCCGGCCCCGCCTCGCCCTCCGGGGACCAGCTGTCCACCTGCAGCCTGGACATGAACTACAGCAGCAGCTCCTCCCTGGAGCACAGGGGGCCCAACAGCTCTACCTCAGACGTGGGGCTCGAGGCCCCTGGGGCCGCCCCGGACCCCAGGAGGACCTGGACGGGGAGCCGCGAGGGGCCGCCGTGTGCCTGCTGCCGCGAGCCCCCGCCCTCCGCGCCCTCCGCGCCCTCCGCGCCCTCCGCGCCCGAGCCCGGCGGGGGAGCGGCCGCGGGCAGCACCTTGCTCTTGGGCGCCCCCCTCTGGGAGGGCCGTGGCCCCGCAGGCGTGGAGCCGCCGCCGCCCCCGGGGAGCTCCCAGGGCCCGCACGGCCTCCACCCGGACCACCTGCCCAGGACAGACGGGGCGACACCGGAGGGCCTGCCCTGCTGCTTCTATGAAGAGACGCAGGTGGCCCGCGGCGGCTGCTACCCCGAGGACTGCTCGGTGAGCGTGCAGTACGCGCTCGCCCAGGAGCCCCCGCCCAGCTGCGCCCCGGGGGCCCGGGACCCGAGCCAGCGCATCCCCATCATTCCAGAGGATGTGGACTGTGACCTGGGCCCGCCCTCGGACTGCCTCAGCCCCTGGGGCGGGACGCCGGGCCCCAGCCCCCCGCAGCCCCACAGGCGCCCGGGAGCGGCCCGGGAGGAGGAGGGGGTCCTGTGCCGCCAGCCCCGGGCCCCGCCGCCCCCCGCCCGCCCCCCGGACACTCAGGAGCCCAGCGCCACGGCCGCTGAGGCCGCAGGTGAGAGCGGGTGACGGGCGGCCGGGGCCGGCTCCTCTCCTCTCCTCTCCTCTCTCCGCGGTCATTTTCTAAAGGGCTCCATCTGTGCCTGGTAACTTCCGGTGTTACCCCCAACTCAGCCTTCCCCGAGTGCCAGGCCCACCGGGCCCTTTGCTCCCATCATGCCTCCCCCTAGATGCCACGCAAGCACCCCCAACCTCTCAGGTTTCTCCTGCACCCCCTCCTCCCAGGTTCCCCACCCAAAACCCCAGCACCATCTAACCCTGAGCCCGCCCTGCCCCTCACCCTTGTGTCCTGGGCTTCTCTACCCGGGAGCATCGTCCAGAAAATTGAATTCCCAGAAGAATGAAACGTAGCGAAAGACACGTCAAGTCCAAGTCCAGAATTCTTACTAGATTCAGCCGACCTCACCAGATTGCTGTAACGTTCCCAAACGTTCAGTCTGGGTAATAAACAGAGCAGTCCAGCACCTCAGAGCGGTCTCCTCTCACGGTCTTGCCTTCTATTCCACCTGGGAGCCGAATTGGTGTTTGGGGTTTTTTTTTTCTTCTTTTTTATAAATTTATTTTTGTTTTTTGAGAGAGAGAACCATCAGTCTGATGTCCCACTTACTTATGCATTGGTTGGTTGATTCTTGTGTGTAACCTTGGTGAATTGGAACGGAACTGGAACCCACTAAGCTGCCTGCCAGGGCCAGAGCGGTCCTTTGGAACATACGTCTGTGTATTGGCACTAGAAAGCCCTTTTGTGGCTTGCATGACCTTTAGAGTTTTGGAAACGTAGCTAGCCCCCCTGTGACCTCCATCCTGTTCCCCCGACATCCCTCCGGCTCCTTCTAGCCTCTGGGCCTCTCCGCTGCCTCCGCCCCAGATCTCAGCCTAAACGCCTCCCTCCGGCGACCTCTGAGCGCTCCCACTCTGGTTCCTCTCCAGGTCAGCACAGCTCCCATCGCTTCGTGTTGACGGGGCTTAAGGGGTGTATTTGCAACAGTGCCTTATGCACATCTTCTCAACATTGCGTTTTCATGCTGCCTAAGGGCTTCCAGAAGGTTCTGTAGGTCCAGGTGAGGGAGGCTGGCTCCCTAGGAGACACCTGTGCTCAGCACAGCATGAGGAGCTCTGCTTAATTAAGCCTTTTACCGTGCGCAGGGTCCGCCCAGTGCCGGGAGCTGTGGCTTCTGAGAGCCCCCGGAGCCAGGGGTGGGCACCGAGTCCCCGCGGCCCCCGTGCATTGTGCCCGAGACCCGCGGCGCCAGCTCCTCCCTGACGCTCTTCTCTCTCCCCCAGGACAGAGATCTCGGCCCGCAGACAGCGGCAGCACAGGCGCCTGAGCCCGGGAGGCCCTCTGTGGACATGGGAACTGTACGGAGACTCCAAACTCTTGATTTCTTCAGAAAAAAAAAGAAAAATAATTTTTTTTTTTTATAGCTCTGACAAACACACAAAAGTGGTAATAAAGAGAGCCCTCCTCAACCCAAAATGTGAGCCGCCTGTGGCAAGCCCCCCCCCCTCCCCTCCCATTAACAAACCGACAGACGAAATTCTCCGAGTCTTTGCCTCTTTTGATAACATGTTACTCTGTTTTGTAAAGTGTGTGTGCTTGGGGTTCCGAGGTGTGTGGGATTGAGTTCTCGGCTTTTGTTGTTGTTTTTTTTCTTTCTCCTTTTTTTAAAGATATTTTATGTAAATGTACAAAGTTATTTAAATATATATATTTTAAAGAACCCTAACCGCCAACTTTTGCTGAAAAAAAAAGAAAAAGAAAGGAATCACTGCTGCATTAATGGAACCACATCGTGTGTAGATACTGTTGTCTCCTGGAGGGAGCTCAGGCCTTTGAAAAAGCTCAGGGCTACGCCTGCCTTAGAAAACGAACCAGAAACTTGAAGTAAAGCTCGTCGATATGGGTACAAACTCTGAGGAACGATGCAATGCCGCCTCTTTCTCGTGGCAGATCCCATGGGGTGTGTACAGATCGTCAGGTCTCCGAAGCCATAGTCCTCCCCCCCCCCTACCCCCCACCCCTCGCCGGCAGCCGCTGGGAGCCGCTGGGAATGAATGGGGCAGAAGGCCGGCCACTGCGGAAGCCCCGGGTGCGACAGGGATGATTCTGCCCGGTGTCCTCAGTCCGTCCCCTGGAGTCCTCCCGAGGCAGAGGGCAGAGTTCACGGTCATGATCTCGGGCTTCCTGCTGCCTTCTGCAGAAACGATCGGCGGGGCGAGCGGGGACCAACCCCAGGAGGAGCGTAGTTCGCGGCTTTGGTGTCTGGAGGGGCCGGGGACTGAGAGGTGATGGAGCCGCCTTCCGGGGGCGCCTTCCGGGGGCGCGTGGCCAGGACCCCGTGGGGCTCCCCTAAGCTCTGGACGGCAGGGTTCCCATCCCATTTCCCACCGGAAGTGCCGCTTCGGGGTTCTCCGGCCTCTGCTCTTCTCGCCTGCCAATGTCTACCATCCTTCCTGCCTAATGCACTATGACCTATTGATTCTCCGTGAGACAGAGAGAAAGAGACTATCAGATAGTTTAGACCCAAAGGGTAGGTCTTTGTATATTTTTTCAGCCTTTAGTAGTTGTTTTTTTTTTTTTTTAAAAAAAAAAAAAAAAAAAAGAGGGAGGGAGAGCTTGAAAACCCAACCCGTTTTTGAAAAGATTGTTTCCATTATAAAGGGGAGAGTCTATTGAAAGCTGTTTCAGATCAGGGATTGATTGTCATCCTTTTTGTCCGATGTGTTTCTTATTCTTTAAAACAAAACTATTTTTAGGAGAAACCAATCACGCTCGCCCCGTGTTCACTGACTCTTCAGGTCACTCGGTTGCTCGCTAATCCAGCCGATGGTGAAAGAGGTACCCCGGGAGCTGGCCCCTGCAGGTGGGGACATTGAGGCCATCCTGGTTGCCAGGAGACCGTGATGACTCCTCTCCAGTGCTCGGCAGCCCCCGGGGCCAGACCAGAACATTCTGAACGAGCACCTCACCCTATCAGAATCCCTTTTTCTTAACATCCTCAGCCTGTGATAAGGGGATGCTCTCAACTCCAAGCCAGGCTTCCACAGAAGGCCATGCCAACATCCAATGATCCAGCCATTTGCCATTTAGGAACTCACACCCCTCCCCCCCAATTTGCCATTTGGTGAGATTTGTCCTCCAGCCTCTAAGGTGCAGGCCCTCGGGGTGGGGGTGGAGGGGGCGGGGGTTGCTCCCCACAGGCCTGTGCCCAGCACACCTGTTGGCGAGGGTGTGAGAAGCGCCAGAGCTGTTGACATGTGATCTGGGCCGCCTTTATTTCCCGGGCCAGGCCCAGCAGCTGCGGAGGACAACAGCTTGTGCATTACGTGGTTTGGGGGAGTTGGGTGGGAGGGATGGTGTGAGGGAGTGACTTTGAACATGAACTGCAAAGCGTAGCTCCTCGTTGTGGAGATTTTGTTGTTGTTGTTTGTGGTCTTATTTGTGTTTCATGCCTCTGAGTGCGTATGATCTTCCTTTTCCTGAAATCATACCCCCAGAGTGGCTGAAGCCCCAGCTGGGGGGAAAGAAAAAACAAAAACCACTCCTCCAGAGCCTTAAGCAATGAATAGACAGTCAAGAATGTAGTTCCAGTGGGGCTTATTCACACAAACGCGTCCAGTTGTTGGCCCGAGAGAACAATAACCATCGCTGACATAGAAAGAAGCACGTTCGATGTTGGTAGTCTGCGGGGTGGTAGAGACGGGGAAATGAAATTTTGAAGCTTTCAGCGTCAGCCCCTGCTTTAAATCTGTGTGGGCCCGTCGGACGGGCAGGGCCCCAGAATGGAGGAACCAACTAGAATAGCGTTGCGTCACCATTGCAATCAAAACGTCTTCCGTGACGCTGTAAGACTCCGCCACTGATAAAGGGCCGCTTTCAGTGATCGCTCTGTGGTGTGTAGAGCTGAGGGGGCTGTGGAAACTAGGGGGCGGGGAAGGGGGGCATCACATTTTCCACTGAGCACATCTGCCCCCACCCCCACCCCCACCCCTGCCAGGGTGTGGCCTTTGGATGTGGTTCCATGGCCCAGCCTCTGGGTGACAGCGGATGTGGACGGAAGAGCGCTAGAGCCAGTTCAAATGGTGGGGGGTGAGGGGAGTGTTGGGATTTCTGATCAGCAAGTACCTCTTTCTAGACACAGCCCCATACGCAGGTTCAGCTCAGTCTCTTCCCCTTTGCCTTCGAACCCAAGCCGTTTGTTCAAGCCCCGCCTGCTGTCCCACTGCTCAGACCCTCGTTTTTGTGCTGCTAGTTTCTACTCAAAAAAGTTCCTGCAGGACTAATTAATGCTTTTAAGATGAGGTCTAAAAAAAAAAAAAATAATGACTAATCAAGAGTGTTATTTTTTAAACAGAACTGCCTTTTTCTATTCTTTATATAAACTCTATTGTGTTGGGTCTAACAAGGCACTATTTTAAAATGTGTGTTGTGTGTTGTTGTTTTTTTTAATTTCTCCCATAGCACTTAAAAGATTTTGTAAAGACTTTGCTGTAAAGATTTTTGTAATAAAACGGTCTAAAGGGCTCCGTCTCCAACATTACCATTTTTTTTAAAATGTTTTAAAAAGGCTAGAAAACAACTTGTGTATATTCTGTATATGTATAGCAGCACATTTCATTTATGGAAATATGTTCTCAGAATATTTATTTACTAATATATTTATCTTAAGCCATGTCTTATGTTGAGCGTGTGACATTGTTGGAATAATCATTGAAAATGACTAACATGAGGCCCTGTAAATACATGATAATTGCACACAGATTTTACATATTTGCCGACCAAAAAGTGATTTAAAACGAGTTGTAGTCTTCTATGGTTTTGTAACAAATTGTACAAATGACTGTAAAAAAAAAAAAATACAATTTTATCAAGCACACATTCTATGTTGTCATCGCTCTGTTGGGTAAAGGTCTACACATTCCACAAAGGAGAAGTTTGCATGAAGCAGTGTCTTTTTAGTTGTTTTTATGGGGTTTGTTTTTTGTTGTTGTTGTTGTTGTTTTGGTTAATCTTCACCTGAGGGTAATTTTAGGGAGAGTGGAAGAGAGAGGGAAAGAGAGAAACATCGATGTGTCTCACATGGGTCAGTTGCTTCCTACACGAGCCCTCAACCAGGGCCAGGAAAGAGTCTGCAACCGAGGTACGTGCCCTTGACCAGGATTGAACCCAGGACCCTTTTGGCCCGCAGGCCGATGCTCTATCCACGGAGCCAAGGGGCCAGGGCCGAAGCAGCGCCTTGAACTTCAGCTCGCGGGTGGGAGCACCAGGCATTTCCTCTGCGGTTAACGTGGAGTTCGGGTGATTGGGGATTTCGGTGGCATCGTGGGACCATCTCCTTGAGGTGATGGTCGTTTCTCTGCTCTTCCCTGCAGGGGGGGCGGGGGGGAGGGACATGACGGTCCATCCTAGCAGTCCTCTCTTTAAAAACTGGGGACGTGCCCTAGCTGGTTTGGCTCGGTGGATAGAGCGTCAGCCTATGGACTGAAAGTTCCCAGGTTCGATTCCGGTCAAGGGCATGTACCTTGGTTGCGGGCACATCCCCAGTGGGGGGTATACAGGAGGCAGCTGATGGATGTTTCTCTCCCATTGATGTTCCTAACTCTCTATCCCTCTCCCTTCCTTCCTGTAAAAAAAAAAAAAAAAAAAAAAAAAAAAAAAAAAAAAAAAAAAAAATCAATAAAATATATATATATTTTTTAAAGTTGGGGACCTAGGCTGGATATAGACCATCGGCTTTATCTGCCGGGATCTTTCCCACCGGGAAGGCAGAGACCCGCAAACCCCAAGGGAAAGGGGCTTGTAGGGAAAAAGCCTCAATCCTCTAAGCCTCAAGTTGACCTGCTCATGAGATTGGAGGGGGGACCTCCGTCTGACATGAATCTGTACCCCTCTGCCACGTGCCCCAGGGAAGGTGGTTACGAATCTGGGGCGCGCTCGGAGGTCCCGGGAAAGGTGCAAAGCCGTGTTTATTGTTTAGACATCCAGCAGAGATCCTCCTCTGGGAGCTCCTGTTCCTATTTCTCCCTCCTGATCTTGGGCCACGTCTCGGGCACAGGCTCCTCCCCGTCGACCTCCAGCCACGTCCTGGCGGGCAAGGGGTCCTGGGCCCCTCGGGGGGCGGCGGCCCGGCTGCGCAGCGCCTCCCAGAGCTTCTGTTTGACCGCCCTGCCCAGCTCCAGGCTGTACCGCTTGGGGGTCCCCGAAGGGTTCCACAGCATCGGCTCCACCACCGCGTGGTACAGCGCCCGGTAGGCCTCGGCGGGGAGGCCGTGAATGGTGAGCACGTCTGACAGCTGCGGTCTGGGCCTGGCTCCGGGCGGCCGCGCCCGGCCCTCGCAGGCCGCGGTCCCCACGTCCCTGCCCGGCGCTTGGGTGGCGGCCACACGTTCGGCGTATCTGCTCTGGGGATCTTGGCGGACGGTTCCTCTTCTCTCCTTTGAACTTTCTTCACTCTGGCCAGGAGGAAAGCGGAGAAGTCAGAGCTAAAACTTGAGAAGGGAGCTCGGAATCATTAGCTGGGATTTGCGTCCCGGAGTCTTGGTTACAGCCACAACCACCGACATTGGTCTAGTGTGTGTGTGTGTGTGTGTGTGTGTGTGTGTGTGTGTGCTCGCTTACCGAAGTCCTTCGTGTAGACCCCTGGTCGGCGACCTGCGGCTCGAGAGCCACAGGCGGCTCTTGGGCCCCTGCAGTGTGGCTCTTCCACAAAACACCACGGCCTGGGCGAGTCTATTGTGGAAGGAGTGGCATTAGGAGAAGTTTAAGTTTAAAAAATGTGGCTCTCCAAAGGAATTTCATTTGCTGTCCTGTTGATGTTTGGCTCTGTGGACTGATGGGTTTGCCGACCCCTGGACTGTATACCACTGCGAGCGTCCCCCCGGGACCCGGGACCCGGGAAGGTCGGCAGGAGACAGCTTTACAGGCAAGGGAGCGGGAATTGGCTTGGCCAAGGCCAAGGCCACCCAGCTAGAAAGCTAATAACCACAGTTGTTGTTTATTGAATGCCACACGGGACCCGAGGCTTTCAGTCTGTGCCAGGCTCTGCTCCAGAGCCCTCTGCCCGTATGGACTCATTTAATCCTCACGGAACCCTGTGAGAAAAGGGCTGTTCCCCCCCCCCCCCCCCCCCATTTTATAGACGACAAAAACCTAGGCGGAAAGAGGCCCAGCCCGCCGCCGCCGTCCTGAATTACAGTCGAAGCTGGGCCTTGAACCCGACAGCCGGGCCCCAGGGTGCACTCTGAGCTCTGCTGGTCCCAGGGGAGAGGGCGCTGGGCTCGGGTCAGGCCCCGAGATGCCAGGTCCTCCACGCCAGGCCTTGCTTGCCTCCGCATGACCGGCCTCTCCCATTATTTTCCCTTCACGTCCAGCACCTTCCACCTGAGTTTGTAAGAACGGCTTCGCCCTCCTATGGAGAGTCAGTCCTAGCAGGCAGGGAGGAGGCAGGGGGTAGACATCATGCCCCCGGAGCTGGCTCCCTGCTGCTGCCCACTCCCCCTCGACCCTCACCCCCTCAACTCGGCCTTCCACTTTGGGATTTCCTTTGCTTCATAAAAACTTTTTTAAAAATATATATATTTTTTTGTAATCGATTTCAGAGAGGAAGGAAGAGGGAGATGGGGAGAGTGAGAGAGAGAGAGAGAAACATCAATGATGAGAGAGAATCATCCATCGGCTGCCTCCTACATGCCCCCTGCTCCCCCCCCAAACCCACACACACACACACACACACACACACACACACACAGGAAATGGAGCCTGAGACTCGCCATGTTTCCTGACCGGGAATCACACTGTGACCTCCTGGTTCACAGGTCGACGCTCAACCACTGAGCTACCCCGGCCCGGCTCATAGAAACCTCTTACGCATTAAGTGTTTCCTAGCTGACCCTGTCCCCCACCCCATCACATGCTGTCCGCCACCAGCCGTCACCTACCTGGCCGGTGCCCCCTGCAGGCCGCCGGCGCCTGGGGGAGGCCGGCCGCCGGCCCAGGGGCGGCTTGCTCTTAGGGCCGATGGCGTGTCTCCGCCTGCCCCGCCGCCGCCGCCCAGTGGCTCTCGCTGCCGAATCGTCCCCGGGCTCCGCTCCCTTCGGGGGCTTTGCTTCCCCAAACCGGCAGGGTCCCGGGCAGCACGAGTCCCTCAGCCGCCGCCGGAGCACCAGCTTCACCAGGGACAGCGAGCTGGTGAGGATGGGGCTCTGCACGACCTCCCAGGAGGAGGGCGTCCCCGTGGCGGGGGCGCAGGCCCGGGCCGTCCAGATGCCGGCGAGGGCCGGGGAGTCCACATAGCAGTCCTGCAGCCTGCTGTTCAGGGAGATGGACCGCCGCAGCCCGTAGCTGGGGATGCTGGGGTCCCGCCTCACACAGACGGGATGCTGGAGTCAGGAGGAGGGGGAGAGGGGACAAAAAGAAAAAAGACCAATTCTCAAGCGGAGACCAGAAGGTGTACGTGAATACTCTTTTGGGAGACGTGAATACTCCCACGCCTGTCTTAGGGATCTTTCTACACCTCCTC